TCTAAACTTCCCATCTGACCGATGGTCACTCTAGGTGGTGTACGACCCTAAAACAACTACAAAACACACAATTCAAATTAAATAACAAATGAAAGTTAATGAAAACATAACATTGATCTGATGGCTGTCAATGTTATATCTACATTCCAGTGGAGCTATTCGGTGTGGCATGACCTACAAAGCCTGCTTGAATAACAAAGTTTTTAGAGATTTCTTTAAAATTGCCAGGGAAGGGGAGCAGGCAAATCTCAGGTGGCAGTTTGTCCCAAAGCAGAGCAAGAACCACCAAGAAGGCCCAGTTTGGTTTTTTCTCCTTCCAGGCCTACCTCCAGGTTAGCATCCTCGGCCGCCCAGCCTGAGATTCGTGAGTAGGATGGGCAACCCCTCTTCGAAGGAGACATTCTATCATGTGCTGAGATCCCAAACTGTTTAGGACTTTGTAGGTCAAAACCAGCACCTTGAACTTGAGACAGAAACAGACAGGTGACCAGTGCAAGGTGGCCAAGATCAGGGAGATATGTGTATATTTATTACCGTAGCTCCCATAACTAGCCTGGCAGGTCCATATTCTAGATCTATTGAAGTTTCCGGATCAGTGTTCCTTATTGAGGAAGAAGGCAAAAAAGACAATTCCTGTAATAAAAAGGAAATGAAAAGTGTACAGTGGTGCCTCGCATAGCGAGGTTAATCCGTTCCGGATTAACCTTCGCTATGCTGAAGCATCGCTGAACGGGGCAGGGATTTCCATTGGAACGCATTAAACATGGTTTAATGCGTTCCAAATGGGCCAAATACTCACCGTTCAGCGAAGCTTCGTAATGGCCGGCAGCCATTTTCGCACCCTCACCTCGCTTAACAAGGGCGCGAAAACGCTGCGCGCGGCCATTTTGGGCCATTTCCGGGCTTCCGTCGGCCATTTTGGCCGCCGAACAGCTGATCGTCGGGCTTCGTTTTGCGAAGATCGGTAAGCGAAACGCTTACCGGTCTTCGCAAAGCGAATTGTGCCCTATAAGAAAAATGTTAAGCGATCGCATTAGCGATCCAAAAAAATGGATCGCTATGCGATTTCGTCGTTATGCGGTGCGCTCATTAAGCGAGGCACCACTGTAGTTAGATGGCAGAAGAAACAATTAACATTGTGAAGGAAGGGGAAGAAGCAAAGGCAAAAGTGACAGAAGGAGGGTCAGAATCTTGAAGGCAACGTTTCAGCAACTATCATGTAGAGATGAAGAGAACTTTCAAAACAACCATTGCAAAGAAACAGAAGAGAACAACACCGAGGGGTTTCACAAAGGAAGGTCACCAGCAACCTATGCCCCCATGTCAGCCCTACCAGTCAAGACTGTCCCTTGGGATCAAGGTCCCTGAGAAACTCCAGTTCTGTCAGCTGACCTCATGCGTTGGGGAAATGATTTCACAACTAAGTGCTAGACTTCAGCTGAATTCTTTCAATGTTTACTCTATGACGGACACACCCGGCATGACAAAATACTTAATAATTCTGTTATTAATACTCTCTAAATAACTGAAGAAACCTTTGTTTGCAGCCTGTTGTTTACTCGCTGCTTGTTTTCTTTTAACACAAGAATAGTTCAGAGCATGGAATAAAAAAATTAAGGCAATAGAGAGTAAAAGATAAGGGAAGTTTAGTGTTTACTCACAGGGTGTTTTTCTAGAGTGGGGTGTATCTAGGTGTAGAGTATAAATGGGAGCTCTCCAAGCCAAAAAATAACCAGAGGAAACCAGGAGAAAATTCTGTTCCTTTACGACAAGCGACTGGACGGTTGTCATTCCTACAGAAGAAAACCTCGTCCTTTTTTGTGGCTGAGTAAGTGCTAAATTCTTCCAGTCTGCATTTTTTTGTGGGGGGGGGGGAGTAGCTTCTATGATGATGATGATGATGATGATGATGATGATGATGATGATGATGATGATGATGATAAATCTGCCAAGAAAAAGATGAATCTGTGTCACGCCTCATTTGTAGATATCTAAAGACTGCACAAACAGCTTGCAAAATTAGACGAGACAGAGTGGCAAAATTCAGCAAAATTCAAAGAAACCAAGCAAAGCCACAAAAAAAAAAGAGAGAAATGTGTGTCACCTTAAAGACTAACTATTAAACTATTAAAAATTAGTGCACTGGTCATTATGCAAAAAAAAATCTAACAAACAAAAACCTTGCCAGTCCCCCAATTCCCATGGGAACATCAGGTAGAAATGCTTCTAGTATTCCAAGGTATTTATAATTTTCATCATTTGATAGTGATTTTATAATATTGCCATTTTAAAACTCTGTTCCATCCAGTTAATGCTGACTCTGCCGAGAAAAAGATGAAACTGTGAATGTCCAAAGATTGCACAAACAGATTACAAAGTTAGACATGATAGAACGGCAAAATGAGTGCACTGGTCACTGAACAAGAGTCTAGAGGGCTTATAATTAGGTTTTTCAACCACTGTGTCTGCATAATATCCCCATCTAAGAATATGTCCTAAAATAGCACTTTTAATTGATAATTTAAAATAAAGAATTGAATTAGACAACAAAAGAATTGATCACAAATCTGGTAATGGAGGCTAAATTAATAATGGCAAAGAATTAGATAGTTAAGAGCCATCTCCAATTACGGTAAATGAACGGTAGGAAGTGTGCAGTATAGATATGACCGATAAATGAAGATGTGATATTAAAATAATGACAATTAAGAATGTATTTCAAGATATATGATGAGGATGTATTGGTTTAATTAGGACAATGGGGTTGTGTACCTCCGCAAGACCCAATGTATTTCTGGAAGGGGAATGGAATTTCCTTCTCTATGAAGAGAAGGAAATAAAGTATCTCCATTGGTCCCAGTGTGGGGAAGCATAGCATATGTGGATTTCCTTTAGATTTGTTTTTTACATATGACAGTTGCTAAAAAAATTAATAAAAAATATTTAAAAGTTGATGGAAGTTTGTTGCTCATGGCTCGTGAATAACAATGAGCATCGCAAACTGCCATGTCCCCAATTTGTGCCTATCTCTAATGCTGACCCTCTTGCATGTTGACCACCAGCTGTTTGCATTTCCAGAAAGTCCTATTTTTGGAACTTGGGTGGAAATTTTTTCATAAAAGGAAGCTGGCACACTCAATATGTGATGTTGGCCAAGTCTGAAACCTGAACAAAAAAAGTTTTATTAGTGTGGCTTTTCCTTGCTTGGTTCCTTTGCTCAGACAGTACTATGCTGTGGCACCTATGTTGGTTCAGTCGCAGCCTGTTTTTGAGAAACATAGCAACTCTTGATACTCTCAGACAGTACTATGCTGTGGCACCTATGCTGGTTCAGTCACAGCCTGTATTTGGGGAGCGTGGTCTCCTAGCAACTCTTGATACTACCTTTAGAGCATCTAGCATTGGTAGCACAATTGCTGTGTTGGACAGCAAGCCTCAAAACTTTCAAGCTGACCTGTGTCACAATTCCTCTAATGCTATTCAGTCAGTAAGGAAACATATAGACCCACCCACACTGAAGGCAGCATTCTAGCCCAACCTTTCCCTCATTGCATTGAACAAAGTACCACATTTTTCTGAAGATGGATAAGCTGTTGGACCTGCCTAGGCTATCCACATGAGACAACCCCCCACATGGAGAGGTTTTGCTTCACATAGAGATGCTACCTCAATACATCATTTATTTCTTTTTATTTATTTATTTGATTTATACCCCGCCCATCTGGTCTAAAAGACCACTCTAGGCAGCTTCCAGTATAGTAAAAACAGTGAAATAATACCAAAAAAATACAAACAATTACATAAATCATATTGTAATAAACAGAATACAACAATAGAATAGAAAATACATAAGGAGAGAATAAACAGAAAAGTCAGATATTAACTGGAGGGAAGGCCTGAATGTATAGCCATGTTTTTAATTGACTTTTAAAAGTGCCCAAAGTGGGGGCCGCGCGGATCCCAGGAGGGAGATTGTTTCAGAGGCGAGGAGCCACCGCCGAGAAGGCCTGGTTTCGTGTCCTTTCTTTCTGGGCCTCCCTCGTCGTTAGGCTCCTCAGCCTCACCTCCTGGCTCGTGTGGGTGATCCGGGGAGATCTAGGTGGAAGCAGGCGTTCCGTCAAGTAACAGCCTCCTCTATGTCAGGTAGTCATATACCTGTATTTGATGTGATGATGGAGCGTGCTGGGATGCCATTTCTCCCTCAGCATTGGTTGGTTCCAAATGTTTCCGTAATGACTGACTAATGCTAGAGCAACTGAACCAGGTCAGCTGAAAAGTTTAATGCCCTCTCAAGGGCCATGATAAATAAGACCTCCTTCTCTCTTTTTCTCTTATAGGGTTTGTATGAAGATAAAGGAGGGAGAAACAGAGTTATAAATGTCATAATGGGGTGTTCAGAAACTCTTGTCCAAATGGGTAAATGTGCTTTCATAACCAGCACATGGGAGGCGAAGCTGTTCAAAGTTCTTCTAATGTGCGATCATGAAGTCTCTATTGCTCTCTCTCCCACCTTAAGATTCCCCACTGTCTCTATTCAGGCTAACTCTGGAATTAAGGATGTTGCTTGCATGGCTGGATCTGATGACAGACCCTGGTTTAAAACAACAACAACATGATCACTTTCCAAAGGAAAGGGGGAAATGGATGAGAGAAAAACTCATTCAACACTACGGACTAGAAAGCAGTAGGCTTGTGTTGAGAGGAGTTGCTTCTGCTGCTGTGTATTTTCTCGCTGGTTCTTTTCTGCCCTCGTGGTTGTTATTGAAAAACCTGGAGAGTGCCATACTGCTAAACTCTGATTCTGGTACAAACTGGAATAAAAGTAAATAAATGAAGGGTTTTGGGAGGGGGGGAAGGGATACAAAACCATCTCTGGGGGATCCTGTCAATATCAGATGAGGTGAATTGCCTCTCATCCATTAGGAGCAGGTGATGCATTTACATTTCTGTGGGATTTTTTTTCTCTCCTCCTTCCTCTTTCCTGATTCCAAGGGTCCGTCATGAAGAGCTTCAAGACCTCCTACGTCCTGCGTGTCCCTCTGGCCATCTTTCTCGCCGTTCTTCTGCTACATTTCTATGCAGAAGCGGCAACGTGGCAAGATTTTCAAAACCGGCATATTGCTCCTCCACGGGGACCGAACGAAAACCTCAACGCCTACTGTGACCGGATGATGATCGCAAGAGGCATGACTCAACCCAGATGTAAGCCCCGGAATACCTTCATCCACAATAACGTACACGATGTCCAGCAAGTGTGCCATGGCCAGTCAACTCATTACGGGGGTAACTTATATGACAGCATTCAGTCCTTCGATATGACTGAATGCAATAACACAGGTACTGCAGGTAACTGCAGGTACAGAGGTCAACCTCTCAACCGTCGCATTCGTGTAGGCTGTAGTGGTGACCCAGTCCACTTTGAAGGTCCTCTGCCATAGGAAGACCCAACTCGCCTCATGTTCCTTCAAGCTAGAAGCCTGATGATCTATTCCCTTCCCTGAGGCCTACACCTTTCTCTTACCGGTGTCTCTTCATTTCTGTATTAGGCACTTCTTCTGATTTTAATATGATTTTTTTTCTGTGCAAACCTTCAGAATGGATGATTTGAAAGGAGATGCTATGGGGTTTGGTTAGGATGTAGAAAAGAAATCTTTCTCACATTTTAAAATTCTGTTTGATTTTTAAAAATATCTTTGCTTTCCCTTTCCTATCTCATAATAAAAAAGTTGAGCATCACCCTCTTTTTTTGCATCTTGGCCCTCATCTAACTACATATCCCAGCTGATGGTGAATAAACAAGGTCAGTGCATATGAAACCAGAACAAAAGACCTGACAGGTCATTTTTGTCCTCAGTGTGGAAGGGATTGTCACTTTCAAATTGGCCTTCTCAATCACACTAGACGCTGTTCCAAGACCTCCATACAGAGCACGCTACCATAGTCTCTGGAGACTGAAGGTCATCATGTTCATAACCCTGGTGCTTCTCAACGGTGCCAGTACAGATACAGAAAGAAAAATTCACACATGAACATGTATTTCGCCACTGGGGCAGCTCTGGAAAACCTGGAAACTGGAGGGGAAATAGTTTCAGGCATAGAGGTCTCAATAGGGGCTGAAGGTGAGGAGCTCCAGATAGCCATGATATGCACATATCTACTTTATGCAATCAGACCATACCCAAATTACTATTAACCCCCACAAGATGGAGTTGAATATGTGGCTTTCTAGCTATAATGGTGTATTCATTTATTCATTCATGACCAGGCCTGTTGTACCAAATGTGTTTCTTTTCAGTGATACTTGCTGTATGTGAAATATAGTGTTATTGGATTAGAGTAGCACCTATTAAGAGCATGCATTCACAAAGAGACACGAAGCAAGAGAAAACACCAGACACAGACTCTTTTTTTTTCATCTGTTCACCACTTCTCACCCAAATACAAAGCAATCATCAGGATTGCTTTTGGACACATATGATTGGTAATGAGCACAAAAGGGGATCCTGTAAACCATTTGGACAGCTGCCACTGGGCTTCTCAACATTCAGGCTGCCCTTTGCTCCCTCCTTCCCTCTCCTAGGTTTGATCTGAGAGTAAAAGTAGAAGAAAAAGAGTCATTAACGTAATAATAAAAAAGATTAGGATCCATTTGCTCCAGGCTACCCATGGGCCCCTGATGTAAGTCCATGAAATCTTCAAATTAATTTCATTTGTGGATAGGCTCAGATCACCTCTGGTTACACCATCTGGCAACGGGGGCAAATAAAGAACATAATTCTCACATGGCAGAAAGCTGCTTTTTGGAGAATTGTCCCTCCTTTACCTTATTTGAAAGAAACCAGATAGATAGATAGATAGATAGATAGATAGATAGATAGATAGATAGATAGATAGATAGAGAGAGAGAGAGAGAGAGAGAGAGAGAGAGAGAGAGAAAGAGAAAGAGAAAGAGAGAGAGAGAGAGAGAGGGGGGGGAGAGGGAGAGGAAGAGGGAGAGGGAGAGGGGATGCGCCTGACAGTGAGTGAAATCGCTAAGAAAATGTCAAACAGAGACGCAAATGCACACTGACCTGTGCTTTCCTAGGTTGGTAACCCTAGCCTAAGTACAACATATTTTACCCAAAGGAAGTGTCATTGAAAAGAGCCAGTTGTTGCATAAATGTCCCTCTACCTCCTGCCATCTATGGAATACAACTGGTTGTGGAAAGGAAGCAGTGGTACTTGACCTGATAACTGATTGAGAAACCCAACTGACTGTGTGAACTTAGACTCTCCACTGAACACACCTTTGCAATCAGGAGTTGGTTACACAGAAAAATGGAGGTCCCTGGTTTTGAGGAATGTCTGAGGAGGTAATGTTAATGAACTGCACCTGCTGATTTCTGAAAAAAAATGTCAATTTCAAAAGGAATGACAGCAAAACACGTAGGGGAGAGTTGTAGATCAGAAGAGGTACATGCCTTACCATCCCAATAATAAGGTCTTTATGAAACCAACTTATTACTAATTTTTCTTCTCCTGGTGAGCCATAATTAAAGAGGATACAGAGAATATACAAGCCACCAAAATCGACTGGAAAGGTGCATCCCTCACCCAAACACAAACTGTTTCTGAAACCAAGTTATTATTATTATTATTTCCCTGCCTGGAATGGACTGAAAGATTTATAGGTTTCCTTATGCTAAGCTACAAGATTTCAGTCATGCCAATGGGAACGTACACCCCTTTGGTAATTCTCTAATAGAGGGAACGTAGACAGCCACAGTTTGCCATGTAGAGTGGAGTGAATGTGCTCCAGTTGAAAACACCCTCTTCTAGCCAATTGCAGAAGGTCTACAAGATTTCAGTCATGCCAATGGGAACATACACCCCTTTGGTAATTGTGTAACAGAGGGAATGTAGACAGCCACAGTTTGCCGTGCAGACAGGGTTGAATGTGCTCCAGTTGCAAACACCCTCTTCTACCCAATTGCAGAAGGAGCTAAATAAGACTCCAGCCATCTACTCAGCAGCTGGTCATTGCCAGGAAATCGAATTGGTGAACACACCAGGAAATGTATGCATCAGAAAGTGTTTATTAATATCATTCTGTAGTTTGACCACAAAAAACAATACAAGAAAAGGAGGAGGCCAGAGCAGAAAAGCCACAGAAATGAGATTTTGAAGAGGATGGATGAAAATGGGTTTTGCAGTTTTCAGGATCGAGGAGGAGATCATTTTCTTAGAAGGAGGGATGTCCGCCGCTCCAGTCTCCCAGCAGGCATCCCCAGGTGCAAAAAGCTTCTTCACAGTTCATACTTGCAGATGTAGGTGTTCCGTCTATTGCACTTATCATCGTTCCACTGTTTAAAACCTAAAATACGAAAGACATGCCCAATATTACTGCTTCTTGCTTTCTCTTTTCTGCCCAAGTGTGTGTGGTTTAGATTGGAGAGGAAATGGAAGGAAGGAAGGAAGGAAGGAAACAAAAGTCCAGATTTACTGCCATTTTCTGAACTCATTTTTAAAAGATAGGGAAGGAAGGAAGGAAGGAAGGAAGGAAGGAAGGAAGGAAACAAAAGTCCAGATTTACTGCCATTTTCTGAACTCATTTTTAAAAGATAGTCAATGCTAGCTCAATTTTCCTCTGCTCTAGTATATCCATTTTTGAAATGAATATTGCACTAAAAGAAATAAAATCATGGAGATGTATAGTGGAATAGTTTGAAGGTGCCAACAGGAAAGCTCAGTGAGTTAGGTATCTGGCTGTGGAGCCAGAGGTTGGGAATTCCTCACTGGACATCCCAGAAGATCCAGCCTGTGGTGGCCATCGACCAGCTGCACATTTCGAGGATGCCCTCACAAGAAGAGGGGAAGAAGGAAGGAAGGAAGGAACAAAGTAATAAAGGAATGAAGGAACCTTCCTGTCTCTTCTTCTCCCGTATTATCCTTCCAACAGTTGTGGGATGGCAGTCCAGCTGAGAGAAAGTGAATGTCCTGAAATCACCTAGTGGAGTTTCTCAGTTCAATGTGGGAAGTACCACCTCGGCCTCCCAGATTCCAGTCTAAGGTTGCCCCCTCTGATATCCCATTGGGTCTCAGAAGTCCTGGTCTATGTCAGAGGGAGCTGAAACCAGCTGAGGAAAGATGGGAAGTCGTGGAGGACCACTTGCTCATGGGATGTTGCCTTTTCTTAGCCACCCAGATTACTTACGTGTAGAACATGTCAGCTCCACGCAGAACTCATCTTTATAACGGTTGTCTGGCTGACCCTTCATCCAGGCCTTGTAGTTGTAGACCGACTCATCAGCCCATCTCCATCTCCCGTTCTGTAGAAGTGGAACAATATAAATAATCGTGTTAAGGGAAAGATTGGCTGGAGAGGTTGTTGAGTGGGGAGTTGTGACCAATTTTGGCAGAGATGGGCTGGTTTACTCTTGTGGAAAGCAAGGGTGAAGCAGGTGGGATTTCAAGTTTGTTGTTGTTGTTTTGAGTGTGAGGAATTTGTATACCCTCAATCATAAATAAGATGGAGAAATCTAGCCTCTTCCTACCATTTCTGGGTTCATTCTCCTTCTAATCATCCTTCATCATCTGTGGTCACTCCACCCATCAGACCAGACCTTGGTTCTCAAGGCTCCTAGCTACATGGGTGCCCCCCACTCAATTTCAAGTTTGTTGTTGTTGTTTTGAGTGTGAGGAATTTGTATACCCTCAATCATAAATAAGATGGAGAAATCTAGCCTCTTCCTACCATTTCTGGGTTCATTCTCCTTCTAATCATCCTTCATCATCTGTGGTCACTCCACCCATCAGACCAGACCTTGGTTCTCAAGGCTCCTAGCTACATGGGTGCCCCCCACTCAAAAAGTCTCTCTCTATATATATACTTGCCATCCTCCATGTACTTGAAAGATGATAGAACTGGGGACAGAGGTAAATGGGGCTAGGGCTCTCCCCTTTCCCTGCATAGATTCATAACACCGGAGTAGAGCCTGGCAGATTATTGAGTTAAGGCCAGATCAAAACTTTACTAAACAGATCCATTCAGAGATGATTCTGTGGAGTGAAGGAAGTCATTCATGGATTCATAACATCAGAGGAGAGCCAGAGAGATGATTGAATGAAGGCCAGATCTCCAGATGATTAGCTGGAGAGGAGGAAGGGAAAGAGGCTCACCTGACGGACATCACGGAGCCCAATCCAGACATTTAATGGTTTTTTCTGGTAAGTGGAGATGTGTTCAGCCACCAGGACGGTCTCTGCCTCTGTAAGGATAGAGGCAAGGTGGGCTCCTCGCCCGTAGCTCTGGCACTCAATCTGAATGAAGAAAGGGGAGGAAGGAATATTGGAATGTTGTTATAGAGAGAACAGAGTTGATGCAGAAAGAATTTTCCTAAATTTGGTCTTGTCGATGGATTATAAAATAATGTTACATCTGGGCCTTCCACATTCAGATCTTAAATGTTTTAAAAAAGTATTTTCTTACAATACCCAATCCAAGAGCAGTTATTTCTGTATACAGTGGTGCCCCGCATAGCGACGATAATCCGTGCAGCAAAAATCGCTGCAAAGCGATTTCATCGCTATGCGAAATTAAAAAGCCCATAGGAATGCATTGAAACTCCTACAGTGCCTTCCTATGGGTTTAAAACTTACCTTTTAAGCAAAAATCCTCCATACGGCAGCCATTTTTGCTGCTCAGTAAGCAAGGAATCCGTTCAATCCTCCATACGGCAGCTATTTTCGCTGCTCAGTAAGCGAGGAATCCATTCCTGTTTTCCCCGGTGGTCATTTTGGAACCACCAATCAGCTGGGGAAAAATCATCGCTATGCAATGATCCGTAAGCAAAAAAGGTACTGATCATTGCAAAGCGATTTCTTCAGGGTACCGATCATTGCAAAGCGATTTCCTCCATAGGAAACATTGTTACTCAATCGCAAAAGCGATCGCAAATTCTTCATCGCTATTCGAATTTGTCGTCAAATGGGGCGCCTGTTATGTGAGGCACCACTGTGTAGAGTGGTGCCCCATATAGCGACAATAATCCGTTCCAAAAAAATCGTCGCTATACAGATATTCGCTATGCGGAACAAAAAAGCTCATAGGAATGCATTAAAACACGTTTAATGCGTTCCTATGGCAAAAAACTCACCGATCAGCGAAAATCCTCCATATGGCCGCCATTTTCGCTGCCTGGTAAGCGAGGAATAGGCGCGAAAACACAGCGGGCGGCCATTTTAATTACCCGGTGGCCATTTTGGAACCGCCGATCAGCTGTTCTAAAAACATCCCTATGCGAAAATCGCTAAGCAAAACAGCTTATCGATCATCGCAAAGCAATGTTTTACTATTAATAACATCGCAATGCGATCGCTTTTGTGATCACAAAATCTTCATTGCTATGCGGATTCGTCATTAAACAAAGCGCTCATCAAGCGAGGCACCACTGTATATTTATTTATTTTTATTTATTGGTATGCTACCTCTCCCTCAGAACTGGGACCCAAAGCAGTTTACAACACAAATAAAGTGGAAACAATTAATATACACTTCAGGTACAAATATTAAATCTGAATTAATCTGAATTATAATCTTATAACACATACCAAATTAGAATCCTTTCAAATATATTAAATAAAATATAGATGCTAGTTGTAATAGTAGAACATTTTTATTAGAAAGGCTTAGAAAAGAATGACAGGAAGGCATTGGGAAGCTGAACATCAGCAAGGAAATTTTGTTTTGAGGGATTTCCTTGAGATTTTCATGTTCATTTCAGCTTGAGTTCTGTAAACCAGGCCACCTTTGTTCCACCCACACCACAAAACACGATTTCTCTGCTCCTGGAGCCTTGAACCTCATCTGCCCATCATGCATTAACATCAAGGCTGGGATGCTGAGAAAGGCTTCTTACCTCAGCCTCTTGCCATGTCATTGGCTCATCGAAATAAGCATAGCAGTTGCCCTGGTTTTGCATCCAGTCCCTGGCGCAGGACGCAGCCTCAGCTGTGGAGCAGAGAGAGGATGTGGGGGAGGGGAAAGAAAGAGTGAATGCAAAGCAGAAGGAAATAAATATAATAACGGCTCATCAAGTTAAATGTGACTTTGATGACTTTTGGTGACTCTTCCCAGGGTTTTCCAGGTATAAAATACTCAGAAGTAGTTTACAAGGCCCTGTTTTAGGGGGCGCTTCGGGACTGTCAGGAATCAAACTTCCAATCCTCACTGCTCCAACTTACTGAGCCCTTCTACCATCTCAGAATCATTCTGAATCTGAGAGCAATCTTTCTTTAAGAGACTCACCTCCCAGAAAAGGGTTAGAGAAGATGATTCCGAGAAGGCAAAGAGCAGAACTGGTGAAGAATCCCATCTTCCGCTTGACCCTTTTAGGGAAAATGGATGGTTAATTCAAGAGATACATTCATTGATTGCCATTAATTGGATCTGGTCAAGAATGGAAGAAAAGATCATGTTTTATTGGCTTTTACTATCATGTTTCTCCAATTTTGTTTCCTTATTTGAATTTTTAAAAACTGGGAAAAAGAAGGAAAGAGAAGGATGCAGGTTTAAAATTGTTGTGCTAGTTATTTTTTTAAAAAAAGGAAAGTATGAAAAATACCAGGTTGGAGAAGAATTTTTTAAATATAGACTGGTCAGGTTAAGGTTCCAGAAGTTCTTTAAAGTCTCCCTCAACTCTTCCAGGATTCCTGCTGAGGCAGCTTATGAACTCTGAGGGACCATAGTCCTCCACAGCAGACATTCCTTTCCATGAGGGAAAGTTGTGTTGTTTGTGTGGAACTCAGATCCATCTTTGCACTTCTGAAATATATCAAACTTCATCAGTCTATCTCTCTGTAAGTGCTTCACTCATCTCCTGGGTATAAGAAGAAGTTATATATCATTCATGGTGAAGCCATTCTCTGTTTATTCTTGCTATGCCTAACGAGCTGAAAGAACATGGTAAGGAATATCTCTCATCACCAATGGGGCTTGTATAGTGACATTGGTTAGTTAGAAAGGAAACATAGCTGGGAATATAGCAGATACAACAGTACTTTTTTACATTTGTAGATAGTCCATGAAATAATGGACACATATCGGACATTAGGTATATCAGTGCAACGAAACTTGTTTCCACCCAATGTAATTTACCTGAACATTCCGTACAAGATCTGAAAGTTGCCATTCTAGAGAAGAAAAATTATAGGATAGAAATCCAGTAAAAGAGAGGTAAGAGGTACCTCAGGATTTAGTTAACAGGAGCTGAGCAGGGCTGCTGAGAACAAGACATTTTAGAGATTTCTGATTTCTGAAAAAAAAATGTCATTTTTGAAGGGACAAGAGTATATCAGAAAAGGCACATAGCTTACCATCCCAATCACAATCCATTTATGAAATCAAATTATTACGACTTTGTCTTTCTTGTTGAAGCTACATTAAGAGGATACATAGAATATAAAAGTTATCAAAACGGACTGAAATAATTTCACACTTACCAACGCAACCACACAAAAGGATGAGATTTTCTTCTGTAGGAATGACGACCACAGTGGCTGTAAGGGAAGGTTTATCTCCTGGTTTCCTCTGGTAGTGTTGGTTTTGAGAGCTCCCATTTATACTCTAGATCTAAATATGCCCAACCCTGGAAGAAAGAGTAAACTTTCCTTATCTTATTTCACCTAAGGACTCTGTATCCCCTTTACCTTTTTATTCTATGCCCTAAAGTGATTACAAATATCTGAGAGAGTAATTTTCTCAGTTAAAGTAAATAAGCTTGATTGATTGAAATCCTGCTAGAAATCCTGCTATCTGGTATACCACTGTACCGGATAACAGGAAGATCAGAAAAGGTGCACCAATCACACAAACACAACCTGTTTCTGAAACCAACTTATTATTACTTTTTTCTCTGCCTGGAATGGACTGAAAGTTTTATAAGTTTTCTTATGTTACGCTACAAGATTTCAGCCATACCAACAGGAACATACACCCTTTTGATAACTGTGTAATACAGGGAACATCGACAGCCCCAGTTTGCCATGCAGAGTTGAGTGAATGTGCTCCAGTTGAAACACCCTCTTCTACCCCATTGCACTTAGCATTGTTCCACAGTCTAAAACTTAAAATATGAAAGACATGCCCAATATTACTGTGTCTTGCTTTCTCTTTTCTGCCCAAGTGTGTGTGGTTTAGAGTGAGTGGAGAG